CCCGGTGTTCGGGAGGTCATGGGTTCGATTCCTTTCGGGGACTCAGAATTTTTCTTTGTCCCACGCTCGTGTCATGTTGATTAATTCACCTTCACAGTATTATTCATCTTAATCTTGATGAATGTTGGCAGAATGTTTACCATGCTGCTGCTTGGCTTTTCACCTTGACTTCAAACAATACTAATAATATTGTTAAATGTTATTTATTGAAGATTCTAGAGGAAGTTAAAATCTCAAAAGAAATGGACAGGGACACCCTGATAAATGTAGCAAGGACATCACTTAGGACAAAATTGCATACAGAACTTGCAGATCTACTTACAGAGGTAAAATGATAACTGGACTCTGTATTTTGTGGATATTAATTTTTTTCAGTTTTATCAGGGATGATGTGAGTTTAACTGTAAGTCAGTTTGTTTTGCAACTGTAGAGGCAAATTAAAATCTTGGTTATACTGGTTTACCTTTAAATCTGAGTTGTGTGGGTTTGAACTCCAGAAGCATCTACAATGATTGTGTTTGAGTGAAACTAATTTTTTGAAGTTTATGATGCTGTGCCTCATTACTTTATAGCGGTGATCTTTCAGCCACAATCTTCAGAGCAGAAAGTCTAGTCTGATAGATGAGTTTTGGTACATATCAATCATCTCTGCCATTTGTTCTGGAGCTACAATATCAATTCTTGATTTAATGTAAAATCTCAAGAATATTTAAAATGCTGTGTTCAAAGCTTGTGGTTTGTTTAACAAATTGTAAGTTTCATAACTTTAACTTTTGTTCAGCCAGTCCCCTAAAAAGGTGTGCAAAATGATATGTTCATGAAAAGATTTCTAGGTTTTATGGCCATTCAATCATGCGAGTGCCTGTTGATAAACCTGGCAAATGTCTTTATTAGAAATGTGAAATCCAACTTATTTTACTGAACTTTGTAAAATAATTGTGGTATAGATTTGATTGTCCTCTTTAGGCCCAAATGCTGACTGGAAATACTGACTGGAAAGCGCTGAAAATAGTAGACTACTGCCTACTTTCAAATTTATGATGAACAGAAACCAGAGACCTGTTAGTATAGCGAATATATGTTAACCTTAAACTACCCCCCCAAATTTTTTTTTATCCCCATGTATCTAGAGGCATTTAAAGTTGTAATTTCTGCAGCCACAACTGCTCAAAGTGGGATCTGGGTCAGGCTTCTGGTGACGTCATGGGAGGAAAGGGGCTGAAAGCACTCAAGATATGTTTGACTGGGCTTCTGAGTGCTGTGAAAACATGTTTGGGGTATTTGTGATTCATATTAATTTTTTTTCAAAAATGGACAAGACTCAAAGCAAAGAACTGTATCATCTAGCAATACAATTCAGAGTCTAGTTATGATTAGGATGGCTACGATTTATATATTTTTTTTCCATTTTGAAGTGTTGGGCCATCAGTTGAGCCCTCCACACTGCAAGTCAGGATCGACAATTTGCAGGCCCATTTGGCTTATAAAGATTACATCAATGGCTGAAGAGTTAACTTACAGCCATTGAAGATTTGATAAGATGTGAATGAACTTGAAGAGTGGTGATTTGGCTTTACTGAACTTGTAGATTTTGGAGTGGCAAAACATTTCTAGATTCAAACATTCCCCAAATTTCACACTTCGCACAAGTCAGCCACCTTTTTCTTGCTTCTGGATGAGTGTCATTGAGATAGAGGTATTGAATAAAGAGGAGTGCTCTCTCCTAAGCTTGCTGTTTTGCTTCTCCCTCCAGCAACATATCTTCCTAGCATCCTACAATGATTTTTGAATCACACTATTGCATGTTTGCATATGTTCTTCTCATGATCAGGAGCAAACATTGTTACCCCTTCGATAACATCGTAGGCCAACTCATCCCATTCTTCACTATTCCCCAGTCCTGGCTGGGAAAAGGCCAATTTTACGCACTTTGAAAATTCATAGAAAACTAATGAAAATAGCTACNAAATCATAATTCTTAAATTGCTTGTAAAATATATCACAAATGTGTTTAGGTGCCAGTAAATTTTTAACCTGGTACATTAATATCAGTATGTCTTGTAGGCATCTATCTACTAAACTAAGCAGCTTTGCCTTACTTAATAGTTCATCATAATCTGCCGTCTTGCCATTGTATACTGCACGTAGTGCCCGCTCTGGCACCCTCTCTAGTTTTCTAGTATCAGATGCTTTACAGAAATGCCACTCACAGACCGATTGAAATTGACTATTAATAGATTGTTTGAAACTTTTTAGAACTGACCAATGGTACTTGTGTCATACAGCTTATACCATCATAGCTTGACTGACCAAACAGTTTTTGTGGAGCAGACTTGTCACACCATCGACTGACAAACACTATTCACTTGACTCTGAAGATGACTTCTGCTGAGGTTGTCAAAAAATCAGTCACCAGTAACAGTTCTTTTTAGAACTACCCTCACCCAGATGATCACACTATATAAACTATTGATACTCCTGGATTTAAACCATTCATGATTGATCATATTGGTGAGTTGTCAGGTCTCCTTGAATGTCATCAAGACAAGATTTTCAAGGTATTCTCAAGTTTAGAATAACTGAAAGGCAGAGATGATTGACTTTCACCAAAACTCAACTTTTTGTCTAGGCTTTTTGCTCTGAGGAATGTATTTAAATGATAACTGGTGTAGCATGCTTTGAACAATCCTATTATGATTGATAGGTTGTTGTAGATGCCGTGTTAGCCATCCAAATGCCAGATAAACCCATTGACCTGCACATGGTTGAAATCATGCAAATGATGCACAAATCAGGAACAGATACATCGTAAGAAGTTTAAAATAAAGAATTAATTTTTATTTTATTAAGTGCCCATACTGTTATTATCAGTGGTAGAAAATGAGTAGTATTCCTATATAGACAAGCTTGCTTGTTCATGTAATATGAGAAAACTAAGCTCCTGGACTGGGTTCTTCAAAGCCTGATTAAGCTAACCCAGGATAAGTGAGGATTTTGATGTGAGTTTTTTTTAACTTGGCAGTAAGGTTTTCTGCTTATATTGTTTGGCCTTCTGAGTTTGAATAATTTCAAACTACACAAAACAGCAGCAGTGAAAAACATTTTTATACAAGAAAAAATTTATTCTTCTGTTAACTTTTAATCCTGGGTTGGCATTAATTGGCTCAGTTCTGACTAACCCAGCCCTGATTACAGCAAGTTAACCTGGTTTGAGCCCGTGATCCAATTGAAAAGCCAGTACTTGGCCAGTGGTTTACTTCAAAAGAACATGTGACCTTGATGAGCTCACAACTTGAGCCCACAATATAGTCACATGATACTGGTCAGCAGATACCTTGCTTTGACAGGTGTCGATTGACCATGAAATGGATGCCCAATAATAATTGAAGGGGTGAGTGCAAAACCATGCTAAGTGACGATTTGGGTGAAAAAAAAATTTTCATGAAAGGGCTTGAATTTTTGCATGTGGTCTTCAATGTAATAGAAAAACGTGGTCCTGTATTTTTTTTGCTGGTTTTTGCTTCGTTTATAAAGACGCCGCTTGGAAAACCAAGTGGTTTTTCTGCATATGCAATATCTCGAAAACGAAGCAAAGCTTAGCGGAAAAACTACGGGACATTGTTAAACATACCTAAACAAAACTGCATAC